TGACGAGGGGGAGGTGGCGAGGGGGGGGGGGGAGGGGAGGTGGCGAGGGGTGGCGGAGAAAGAGACGATGACGAGGGGGAGGTGGCGAGGGGGGAGGGATGGCGGCGAGGGCGGCGGAGAAAGAGGACGATGACGAGGGGGAGGTGGCGAGGGGGGCGAGGGATGGCGGCGAGGGGCGGCGGAGAAAGAGGACGATGACGAGGGGGAGGTGGCGAGGGGGGGGGAGGGATGGCGGCGAGGGGCGGCGGAGAAAGAGGACGATGACGAGGGGGAGGCGGCGAGGGGGGGGGGGGAGGGCAGGGGGGAGGAGCGGCGGGCCACCAAGGGCGGTCGGAGGCTGGCGCGCCTCCCCTTTCTTCCCTGGGCAGCTTTCCGCCGGGCTCGTGTCCGTCTTCCTCGCGGCTCGAGAAGAAGTGGGGGGTGATGTGGGGGCGGTGTGAGAGAGAGAGGGAGGGAGAGGGAGAGAGAGACATAATTAGAGTGATATACATATGTGCATATCTATATACACATATGGGGAGAGAGATAGCTCGAGAGAGAGAGAGATATATACATAACACAGAAAGAAAGCAGTGAGTGTGCCAGAGAGAGAGAGAGGGAGAGTGATAGAGAGGGAGAGACGGATAGAGACTGAGAGAGAGAGAGAGACGGATAGAGACACAGAGAGAGAGAGAGACCCGGATACATATATATATAGAGAGAGAGAGAGAGAGAGAACAACAACAACAACAACAACAACAACAACAACAGCAACAGCAACAACAACAACAACAACCAACAAACCCAGATAATCAGTGCGCCTTACCCTGCCTCGTTGTCAGTCTCGCATCCACTCCGCCTTCCTGGGCTTTCTTGTAAGCACCCTGGGGGTCCCTTGGGCACTGTTGGGCCCGTCTTGGGCCGTATGAGGCCCTTCGATTCCGTCTTCGGGTCATGTTGGGACTGTATTTGAGCGCTGTCCTCTTCCGGTGCATCCCTAAGTCTGGACGTCGAGAGCGGCAGTCCTGGAAGGGAATCTCGTTGTTTTCTGGAGCCGTTGGCCCAGAGTAGGAGATCCCAGGGAACAGCTGGCATGAGTCTTGGCTTTGGAGGGAGTGTGCTTGTGTCCTTTATGTCTCTGCGCTTTCCACCTCGGAGTGTTACACGCTGGTCGTTGAAAGTATGTGTTTTTTTGTATTCCCAATTTCTAGTCTACTTCTAGCGCCTTCTACTTCAATAATCGGCATAGTGATGTGTCTTGTTATCTGTTAGGGCTTCGCCCCCTGCCGCCGGCCCCTTCTCCGGGATAGTGAGGCATTCAAGAGCTTTATTGTGATGCCTGGGCGCCGTCGTGAAGCGCGTCGGTACTCCGAACGGGGGCCACTTGGGTTCGGGTTCCTCGTCTCGTGTCACTCTTGGGGCCCTCTTGGGGGTCTCTTGAGCCGTCTTGGAGATCTCTTGAACCGTCTTGGGGCGCTCTTGAGAGCCTCTTCGGCCGTCTTGGAGCGGCCTTGGGGGGCCTCTTGGGTCGTCTTGGAGCGTCGGAAGCCCGAAAAGGCGAGCGCGCCACAGTCCATCAAAAACCTTTCAGGAAAACTGCAGATGTTGGCCTCTTGGGCCCCTCTTGGGGGTGCTCTTGGAGCGCTCTTTGGGGCCTCTTGGGCCGCCTTGGGACCATCTTCGGCGCCTTGGAGCAGTCCTGGGCTGTCTCGGAGGCCTCCTATACCGTCTTGGAGGCCTTCTTATGATAAAGGATTCTGGCTTCGAGAGCGCAAAAACTGGGTACTTGACTTGGGTTTGTGATTTCGGGGACTCGAAGAACGTGTAATTCACGAGTGAGGGATCCTGGCTTCGTGGACGCGAGCATTTCGTAATTCAAACGAGAGTATTGCCTCGGATACGCGAAGAATATTGTATCACTGAGTAATACGAGCAAAGCGTAATTTGCGAGGGTGTATGGCCTCGGGGACGCGAATACTTTGCCATTGGCGAGGGATTATAGCCTCGCGGGCGCGAACTCGGCGTAATGTACGAGGAGTTGTGTATTCGGGGGCGTGAATCTCACGCATTATGTGCGCCCGGACCGACCCCCCCAGAAATTTTGAGAGCCCCTCCAGGGGGTGGTAGCCAGAGCCCTCTTCGAGGCCCCTCCGCTCCATCGGACTTCAACAGCTCTTGGCAGGAAGCACAGAGCAGGACCGGAACGCTGGTGACCGGGAGCTGGAACCGGCGCAGGACGCGGCAGGCCCCGCCCGCGGAGCCCGGTGGCCCCACTGGGGGTGCCGGCGGACTCCTCGGGAGGGCCCGTGCCCGATCTGCGTTTGGTCCGCCTTCCCTCGAGCAGTGGCGAAGCGTCCTAGCTCGACTGTAGGCCCACCAAAGAACGCCCTGAGGACCTTTGGTGGTCTGCACGAGCTGTTCTCGGAACATTTCTGGCGGAGGCTGTCTTGCTTTAACGCGTGGGGCTCATGTTCTAAGAACATTTATTTTGTTCTTAAAACACTTTTGGGTTCTAAGAGCATTTCGTAGTAGGCCTATAGGACTGCCGCACCAACATCGCAGAGCGGATTTCTTTCGGGAAACAATAGGATGGGCCCGGAGTGTACTGGAAAGTTTCGCTCTAGATTTCGAAGTGAGTTTCGTGCGGATTTCTGTTTGGACACGAATTGCAAAACACCACGTGAAATTCGCTTCGTTTTTCGCTCGCCGTTTCGGGATTTGGCGCTGACCGAAATCCGCGCCAAAATCCGCTGCAGCACGTCTGCAAGGTCGGTGCAGTGGCATGTTTCTACCTACAGTGGAAGCCCAAGCCTGGAAACACCCTGATTGCCTCCAGGGTGCCCATGGGTGTCTTGGGTTTCGATGGCCTTGCTATGGAACAGCGCGACGTTACCACACCAACAGTCAATTATACGTCCTGGGGTCTCAGGGTTGGGATGGAAAGTTTATTCGAAGGGCTTAGGCGACCTGTCCTCCTCCTCTCTCCTCCTCCTCCTTCTCCTCCTCCCCCTCCTCCTCCTCCTCCCTCCTCCTCTCCTCCTCCTCCTCCTCCTCTTCCCCCCCCCCCCTCCTCCTCCTCCTCCTCCTCCTCCTCCTCCTCCTCCTCCTCCTCCTCGCCCTCCCCTCCTTGGGTCGCCTACGGCCCCGTGGGAAACCGTCCAGGTTGGGTTTCTCATGGAAGGTCTCTTGTGGTCGGGCTCCCGCTGTACCTCCCCCGACCGACGCGCAGCCCCCGCTGGGGCGTGGGAGCGCCGGTGGGCGCCCGGGCGCCCCGGGGGAGCGCCACGCAGCGCTCGGGAGCGCCCGGGGCCTGCGGCCTTCGGGGCGAGCAGGGGTCGGCAAAGAGGGGGGTGACTGCACCAAGGAAAAGCCCCAATCAGTGGATGGTTTGATGAGATCGATGGTGAGATCGATTGATTGAGATGACTAGGGAAGTCGATCATGAGATCGACAATGCATCGTGGGATCGATAAAGAGATCGACACGGAGATCGACCGGGACCCCGGGAACCCAGGAACCCGGAACCCACCGCATTCGGCCCGGAACCAATAATCAGGAATCCGGGAGCCTGGAACTGGGAACTCGGGAACCCAGCCAGCCACCAAATCCGGCGGGACCTTTTCGCCAAATCTTTCAATTTCCGCTAGGACCCCTCCAGTGCAAGCACTGATTGGGGAGTGACCAGGGGGGGGGATCTCGTGGCGGGGGGCATGACATCTCCGCAGATTTCGTGGCGCCTTTTCTCATTTCAAGACGTCCCCAGCCCCTCCCCACCCGAGCCGCGCACGTGCCGCTGGCCATGATCTGCGCCCCCTCCTCTTGCACGCCGGCCCCGCTCCTGGCCGCCCCCCGAGGGAGGGGCTCGCGGCCCGCGGCCTCGTCGCGGCCCCGTCTCGCCCGCGGGGCCGGCCGCCCCACGGCAGCCCTGGCGTCGCCAGGACGTGTGCGTTTTTCTCTCTCCGACTGCGGCTCCAGCACCCACTCCCATCTGTCCGACCCGGCTGCCATTTCCCGACCCCGGCTTCTGAGCGGCCAGCCTATTCCGGCGCCCCGGCGCCCTCCCGCCGCACCCTCGTAGGTGCCTCGACGCGGGCTCTTCTCTTGTCTTGTCTTGTCGGGGCCCCTCGAGGCTCAGGGGCAACGATGGCCCTGACTCCGGATCCGCCCTACTTTGGGGAAATTCGAAAGCAGGGCCTGGAATGTCCACCTCATTTTTCAAGCCCCGCCGATGCCAATTTCCGCCCCACTTTTCTGTTGCTGGCTCCGCCCTACGTCTGTGGATTTCCGCCCTACTTTATGTTGGGTGCAGAAATTTCCGCCCTACTCGTTCGGCTTCTTAAGGGTGGATTCCCGAAGCAATTTTCAGTAGGAAAAAAAAACCAAAATAGGGCGGATCTGGAGTCAGGGAGGGGGGAGGGGGGGAGAGGCATAAGGGGGGGATGCGTCGACACGCAAGCGCCCCCTGATCGCCGATAGGGGCCCGATGGCCCCGACCTGCCCAGGAGGGTGCGGATTCACTGTCGCGCGCCTATCGCGATGTATCGCCGATCCCAGGTCGCTGCATCCCCCCCCCTTGGCCAGCCCCCCCCCCCCCTGTCACCGCCCGCCAAATCACCCAAACCCAACCCGAGGGCCCCGATTTGCCCCCTCTTTCTAGTAGGGGGGGCCGGGGAATATGGAAAAAACAGATGGATCAGGAGGGACAAAAACACACAGACACAATTAATCGTCGACTCCCAGGAGAATATAGGAAAATATGGGAATTGGGCGGGAAGACAAAAACCAATAAAATATTGAAAAATATGGGGAATCATTTTATTTGTGTGTATTTATGTGTGTGTGTGTGTCCTTGGGCCCCTTGAATGGAACCCGAACCCCCCCAGGCCGACATTCGGGCACAATTCGGTCCTCCGGGTCTTGCAGGCGAAGCGCGCGCGGAAGCCGGCCGTCCCACGATGGGGCAGCGGACGCCCTAGCCCGCCGCGCGCGCGCCGCCCCCCGGGGGCGCCCCCCGGGGATAGGCACCTGGACGACGACGAGCTCGTCGTCGGCACCGTCGAGCAGCCAGAACCCGCCGCCGAGTTCGGGGCCTCCGCGCGCTGGATCCTGGCGCTGGGCCCAGTGGGCCCTGGAAGCGGCTAGGTGGCCACATGCGAACCCTACCCCTACCCCCCACGATTTCTGAGGGGGAGGGGGGGGGGTCACTTTGCTCCCGAGCGGGGTGAACCCCACCCTCCCCCTCAGAAGTCGTGGGGGGTAGGGGTAGGGTTCGCATGTGGCCACCTAACGGCAGGGCCGTTTCTGTCACCGGCTCCGTCTTGCCGTTTTTGTTCGCCGCTTCCGACGCCGGTTTTGTGGCCGCTTCCGTCGCCGTTCTTGTGCGTGTTTTTCCCGCTCCGGTTCCCATCCTGGAGCCGTTGTTGCCTCCGTTTCCGGTCTGCCTGCCGTTTTGCGGGGCCCACTAAGGCGCTGGACGGGGTGAAGCACGCCGAGAACATGGGCGCGCCCCTGGGATCGAAGAGCCAGGGGCGGCACATCGCAGGCCTAGAGGCGGACGCCACCGCCAATATCGGCGGCGTGCCTCCACCGAGGGAAGAGGATTCCGATCTCGGTGAGGGTTGTGATGTCCTGGCTTCCGAGGTGACCGCACTGTTGCCACCAACACCGAACGCACTCTGGGATCGTCTTCCCCCCTGTGGAGGCCCCCCCCCCTGTGTTGGTGTCGGTGCCCATTTTGGGGGCCACATGCGAACCCTACCCCTACCCCCAAAGATTTCTGAGGGTGAGGGTGGGGTTCACTTCGTTCGGGAGTCCCCGAGCGAAGTGAACCCCACCCTCCCCCTCAGAAACCGTGGGGGGTAGGGGTAGGGTTCGCACGTGGCCCTTTACCTCTCCAGGCCTCCCCGCATAGGCTGCCAGAGGTCCGCGCGGAGCTGTTGGGCCGGCGCGGGGCGCTGCCCCTCTGGCGCGCTCCCCGCGCGCCAGCGGAGGGGGTGCCCGGCAATGCTCCCAGAGGTTCGCGCGGGCCGCCCGTCAGGGGGGACAAAAAACACGCAGACACAATTCATCGTCCGCTCCCAGGAAAATATGGGAGGATGTGGGAAGTGGGGGGGAAGACAAAAACCCAGAAAGTATGGAAAAATATGGCGAATCCTTTTGTTTGTGTGTATTCATTTGTGTGTCCCTGGGCCCCTTGAGCCCGGCCCGATCCAGGGGGGGATGTTGTTTTGTCCTCCGATGCTGTTTCCGGATGCTGCGGGAACCGAATGGCCTTCCGAGGCCGCGATTTGTCGGCGCGATTGAAACGGGTACGGAAAGAATGGGTACAGTGCCCAACAGCAGTTCCTGTTCATGTTGAACAGGACTCGCTGTCCGCGCCGCCGCGGCTGAGTCCGTCTGAGACAGGAGGCCGCCTGCCCAACAGCGGCCGCTGTTGGTTTGGGACAACATCTGTTGTTGGGCATTGTAAACATGTTTCCGCACCCATTTTGAGCGTCCAACATTCGAGAGAGAAGCGCGCGGCCGACACAAAGTCGCAGCGTCGGATGTCTATCGGAAGTCAATCTCGACGAACGAGCGGCACGCACACACCCATACCCACAGGGGGGGGGCGGGGAGGGCTGTGGGCGCGTGCCGTCGGAGGGGGGCCCCCGCGCGAAGGGGGGCCTCCCCTAAAGGGTCCGGCAGCCCGCGCCCATGCCCATGGCCAGTCCTCCTCCCGCCGACCTCAGAATGGATACAGTGGACGCCCATGCCAAGAAGCACCCCTGGCTGGTCTCCGGGGTGCCCTGGGTTTCTCTGGTTTCGGTGGCTGGGCTATGGAAAAAGCGTGGCGTTCCTGCACCAGACTCCATGGACCGTGCTGGAGTCTCTGGGTCGGGCTTCTTGTGGACGGTTTCTCGTGGTCGAGCTCCTGTCGGGTTGTCTCCAGGGTGCCCTGGGTTTCTTTGGTTTCGGTGGCTGTGCTATGGAAAAAGCGTGACGTTCCTGCACCAAACTCCATGGACCGTGCTGGAGTCTCTGGGTCGGGCTTCTTGTGGACGGCTTCTCGTGGTCGAGCTCCTGTCGTATGTGTGTGTGTGTGTGTGTGTGCTGTCCGTTCGTCAAAAGTCGCATACGCTTGCATCTTCAGGGGGTCCCCGCCCCTGCCGCGCCCCCAGCGCGCCGCCCCCTCTGTCGCGCACCGCGGCGCCGCGGAGGGGGGGCCGATGCTCGAGGAACCCGCGCAGGCCTCCGACCACGCAGTTTTTTGGCAGCGCTCGGACGTGTTTTTGTCGGTTTTCATGTTCGGCGGGGATCATTGATCAGAGCGTGAATTACCTACCCCGCTTTCGCTTCCAGGCAAAACCAAGTCATACCACGCGCCTCCTCGTCAAGCGGCCTGACCAGTACAGGCCGTAGTTTGGCATCGCTTGGTATCTCTTGGAAGCGAGGGTGGTCAAAAGCGAGGTAGGTTTGTTTTCCCCCTATTCTTGTTCGGCGGGGATCATTGAGAAATGTACAGCTCAGAGAGGGATGGCGCTCGAAAGCGAAAGATGCACGGGGAACGGACGTCCGAGCGATGGCGAGGCGTGGTCTTCGTCCACTTCGGCGGCGGGCCTGGATGGGGGAGGGAGATACAGCCGGGCCGAGTGTGTCAGATCGATGCCGATGTCGGGGAGGGTACTCCAGATTTCGTAATAAAAGGGAGGGGGTCTCAACCTTCCCAGACGAGAAGTTTTAGACCCCCCCCGTGGGAGAACCCTCCAAAACATCGTCCCCAGACCCCCCCAGGCCCTCCAAGATAGCCTGGAAGAGACCCCCCCCGAAATGAGACCCCCCTCCCTTTATTACGAAATCTGGAGTACCCTCGTGCTCTTCGTGTCTGTTGGGTGTTCTGGTGCGTCCTGGGGAGTGCACCCTTGGATGTTTCGTGTGCTTTGGCCGGCGGAGGGTCTCGTCGTCTTGAGGGATGCTGGCCCGGGTCCGACCGTAAGGGATCGAACAATGGAATCAACATCAAAACTCGGCGGTCCGTACGGATTCCTCGGATCGGCGCTGAAACCCCTTCGCGGCGCCTCCGGCGTTGCCCCTGGCGCAGGGGCACTGCGCGGATGCGAGAAATTTGGGCGTGCTGCCGAATTGTGGTGTTTATGCCATTGTTGGTTCCCCCTATGAGAGGCCTTCTCAGAAGGCGGCGGGTCTTCTCAGAAGCCCTCGTGCCTTCTGAGAAGCCGCCTGTGTATTCTTCACCGAGCGCGTTTCACTACTCGCAAAGTGTCTACTCGCAAACGTCAAACAAAAGCGTTCGCCTCGATGTAAATCGTAAATCCTCCGCGGCTGATCCAGGTCATGTGCGAGTGGTGACTTTGCGAGTAGTGGAACGCACTTGCCTACTTCTGAGAACGTTGAGAAGGCGCGACGGCTTCTGAGAAGCCTCGCCGCCTGAGAAGGCCGGTCCCCTCTGCCTTCCCCCCCCGAGCTTAGGTCGGGCATGTCCTCCTACAGGCAGATGTTGGAGGAACAGTTAAACATAGACAGCGATATGACAACAGTTGCACACAAAATGAAAAAAGTCGTCCCCACACTATATATTGCGTATACTATTTATGAAAACATTTTCCTGTAGAGCGACACGCCCGATTTAACCCTGGGCCCGCCGCCGATGAGTCGGGAGGGGGCGCGAGAGGGCACCAGTCGGGGCGGAATGCGTTGCCTCCGCTCCAGGGATGCTGCTCTCCAGCGCCGTGGCGCTTAAGTTCGACGGGGTGGTCTTCCTGCCGGAGTGCGTCGACCCCTTCGGTTACAAGGCGCCCTCCCTGCCTGGGGAGAGCCTTTTGAGCGAGCAGGAGGGCGACGGAGAGGAGGAGGAGGAGGAGGATTACGCTGTAAGGATTACGCAGTGTGGCCGTCCACGCGGCACAGCTCGCAGCTCGGCATCGCAGCACCAAGGGGAAAGTCGAAACCAACACCAAGACCCTGGTGCCGAGAGAGCCGTCTTCGAATTTATCCAGCGTGCTCCAGAAACGCTCTGCCGGAGCACGCTGGCACAAGTAGCTCGGCAACACGCCCGCGTTAAAACTGTTAAACAGATTACAGGCATTCCGGGGGTTCAAGAGGTCGCGGAACCGGCTTCAATTATCAGGCGCATCTCACGCCAAATCTGGCGGGCACGGATCGTCCTCGTCCGCGCCGCCGAAACGCCACTCTGCTGCCTCGTCCTCTGGGTCGAGGGGCCTTGCCACAGGCTGAGAGGAGTCGCCAGGAATCACCGTGGGAGCGCGGTCCTGAGCTCTCGACGCAGCCGCAGCCGATGGGGCAGGTCCTCGGGCCCCAGGGTCCCCCGCCACAGTCGCTTTGGCCACCTCTTCAGCGCAAACGCGCGCATGCAACGCCTCGATGACCGATTTAGGAGGGCCCTCGCGGCGTGGGTACTGGTCTCGGCTGATGCGAGTTAAATTCTCGGCTCCTTTCCGTGATCTCCCAAGGCATCTGGCCTCGAGATGTCTGAAATCTTCCGTCGCATACCTACCGCATTCGTGGCAGAACACCATGCAATACTTGGGCCACTCTCCAAGTCTGTGAGTGCTGTGCAGCTCCCTCCCGCCCAGGCCCCTTAAAACACCCTCGCCCACAGCCCTGGGGGCCCTGTTCAGGACGGGGGGGGGTGGGACAGGCGGGGCTGGCGGAGGTACGCACGCAGTGCTGCAGAACTCCAGCAGGCTCGAGGCATGCACTCGCTGGTTGCACACCTCGCATCTCCATTTAGCGCCGTCCTGGGCCATCTGGTGGCCCGTTTCGCGGAGAGCTATCTTCACGCCGCTCTCGCGGGCCCCACGAGGCGCGATATCTTCGCGCTCGGCCCGGGTCGTGTCGCAGTCCTGGGCAAGTTGTAAGGCCTTGGACGCTCGACGTCTGACAGGAGGAGGAGGAGGAGGAGGAGGAAGAGGAGGAGGAGGAGGAGGGAGGAATAGGAGGAGGATAGGAGGAGGAATAGGAGGAGGAATAGGAGGAGGAGGAGGAGGAGGAGGAGGAGGAGGAGGAGGAGGAGGAGGAGGAATAGGAGGAGGAATATAAGGAGAACTAGAAGACGGATGAGGAGGAGGAGGAGGAGGGATTCAGGAGAGTCTTCAGGGGTTCGGGGCGTTTCGGGTTTGTTCAAGCGATTTGTTTATCTATATTTTTTGGGGGGGGGTCCTCCTCCTCAGCCTTCTGCCAGGCTCCTCCTACTCCTCCTGCTCCGCATGCCGCTGGTTCTCCACCTCCTCCTCCTCCTGCTTCTCCTCCTCCTCCACAATGCAAGGGCTGATGCCGGGTATGTCGCGAACGCAGGCAGCGTCTCCTCTCTCCTCTCTCCGCCCTCTTCCCTCGCCTCTCTGCCTCCCTCCTCTGTTATCTACCCTCTCTCTCCCTCCATCCTACTTCCCTCCGCTGTTGTTCGCCCCCTTCATGCCTCAGCCGATCCCTTCTCCCTCCCCTCTCCCCCTCCCCCACTCTCTTCCCCTCTCCCCCCCTCCCCCACTACCTGCTCCTCTCATCCTCCTGCACCTAACCCTGCGCCCCCCTCTGTT